AATGCTTCGGAGACATCGGTGGTCAAATACAGAAGGTCGATTAGCATCCTCTGCTCGGAGAGGCCAGGTCTCGCAACCGTAAAGAAGAACACTACAAACTGCGGCGATGTACACCCTTCCCTTAAGGGATAGTTGGATGTCTTGGAACTATTTTAATGAAGACGCACTATCATTTGGTTGTGCCTCGACAGTGTAAACACGCACTTTCCGAATTGCCTCACGATCCGGGGTTTGTAATTATTTCATATTAACCAATCATTGTCTATTATAGTACCGCATTTCAAGACAATCTCGTCTTCTGTTGACTTCGAGATTTGTGCGTCACTCGGTCGTTGGAATGGATTTCCAGTGTGCAATCCACATCACTGAATCTTCTCCAGAGATTCTACAGGCATAGACTTCTTAGCGTATGCTCAGAACACGATCTGCTCCTGGTGAGCACAAACTTAAGACACGAAAAATTTACCTCTCTAGATATCTTAAACATTTTCGTATACAGATGTAGATTCAGATTGATCACATATGTATTAACCATAGATGAAGAGTGTGTGAAAGACTGCCGCTCGTATTGGTCTGCCTACTCGGACTCTGATCACGGACTGGCTTGTGCCAAGTTGTCTGTGCGATTTGGTGGCCACGAAATGATGATAAGCAATCAGCTTGACGTCATCAAACTTTTTCCGACTACACTGTGTTGGTCCACTACCAAAACGATTTGGCCGCAAGGCCAACCGTGGAAATCAGACACAATCTAATTACAAGTTGTGAGGTTCGAGAAAATTCACAAGTATGCTTATCGTGAGTGGCAATCTAGCAGACCGAAATTCGACATTTTTTAAACGATCCCGCAGAGATGACGGTCTGCCTCTATTCACACTCCCACGCACACATGCTCCTACACAGACACACATTCACGCACACGCGCTACGAACATACTTGGTCTTCGCTCTGTGTTTTGATTGGTTGATGACGACTTGTAAACGATCGATCAATTCGACTTGTTCGCCTAAACTTAACACACACACACACACACACACACAATTTTTCAAAAGGTTCACTTGATACCATTGTTTAGTCATTTTTGGTCCCCTCTTGTACACCTGTGAGGAGGGTATGTTTACCAACCAATGGCATTTTGGTATTTCTTCAAGCTACCTGTCTCACGAGTAATATCGAATGTCTATCTGCACGTCACGGTTAGCACCAAAAGCATGTGAGCTGCATTCCCGGATAATTAAAACCATCATGACAATGATATGAATACCTTAACCCTGTTTTTATCGTACTAGTATTGAGCGACCTGATGCGATTGCTTCATTAGGTCTATTCCTCCCTTCATGGGACTGAGTCGCGTATTATCCCACACCACTTATATATATTGTTGCTTCTATCAATCAAATACTTCCCAAAAGTACGATGTTGCGATTTCGATGACAGTCACCGATGTATCACTTGCATAGTAACAAAAAACCTGAGTATAGAAAAATCATAGGAATTCACCGATAAAATAGCTTAAGAGTTCGACGCAGGTATTGTCATTTTCATTTCGTAAACAAGTTGTGTGGCCTCCTTCAGCTTTGAGCATTCGGATAATCGTTTTAGTTGGAGTCCATCGGTGGACAAGTTATATTGTGAGAAAACACAAAGTAGCGAACAAGCTCGTTTGCGGTGATTCTTCTACAAGCTAATACATCACAATTTATATCAAACTGTTTAGAAGGGGGCAGCTATAACTTTTTTTCATTTTTTTAATCTTACTTCCTTTTGTTCAACGCATAATGATACGATTTTCAGGAAGGAGGAAGCCGACAATCGAAGGACAGCCACACAACACATTAGGGAAAGTCAGGCGGTGGCGGTGGGATTAGGACACATGTCCTGCAAGGTAACGTTACTAACGGGCCACCACCCGATGGATGAATCACGGATTAAGTGTCAGCCTGCAGAAGGCTCGATTAGCATTTGTCAACTTGGGGCACCGTTGCGACATCCGGCCAGCCGTGAAAGATTAAATGTATGCTGCGGTAGTCCGGCGAGCTCTACTATGCAGCGCAGAAACTTCGTCATCAAGAAAATTGTCGGTGGTCGAACACCGAACGATTAATGCTGAGGTTATGCACAGTATTTAAGGTAACTGCAGTCGCTCATTGGAAAAGTGGTCACGTTTCTTTGAGGCATGTTACGCATGTCACTGAATGGGTTTCCACGGCGCGCGATGTTTCCCGAGGCAGGTAGTACGTGGAAAAAAGCCAGGGGTGGCCGAAAAAAGGCCTGGCACCAGGATGTAAAAACGCTAACCAGGAGGCTCGGTCATAGAGGTTGCGTTAGGCTCCTAGATGGGGACCTCGAGAACTGAATTCAGTAGTTAGGGGTACAGAGTGATATGACCGAGTGTCGTAAACAGGCGTTAGTGCATCTTCTCAATTTCTTTGCAACTTTAGTCCAATGAAATTCTCCATTTTCCCTTCTACTCTTGTTCGCTACATTGTGCCTTCTTCAAATTGATAATAAAAGTCAAAATAGCTTCGTATAATCTGTGATAATAGAAACCAAAATGAAAATAATTTTATTACGTGGTCAAAACGACTAACCTGTTTGGCCACGACCAACAAATGCGGTTGCAGCGGATGACTCAACGGTAGACTGGCCTTCAAGTGTTCAACTTGCTGCAAACAGATTGTTTACAAAGGAAAGAAATTAATTATACGGCTAGTGTGAATGAAAAAGCATAGGTAGCTAAGAGTATAGGTGAATCTCGTCATGGAGAAGCAATAAAGCGTGAACTGCGAAGCTACGAACCACGGCACAGCTGTGCTGACCTGAATCGGTTTCATCAACTGTGTGATGGACTGTGTGCACAGTCCACCTTTGTGAGCCTATTGTGAGCATCACACCTCCCGCATTTGACATCATAACTCCAACCAGAACCGCTTGTTACATGAGAAAAGTGGTTCCAGGCTTTCTTACCACGTCATCTGTTAACCACCCTCGGGGTCGCCTCCAGGCCGGAGTGGTTGAAGCGAATAAAGGACGATGCGACAGACGACAGTTGGGTATATGCAATACGTGCCCTCAACCGGCAAAGTCCACTAATCTGAACTCGATGAGCTTGCAAGTTTACCCCTCATAAACCGGCATGCGCACAAGCAAGGTGCCAACAACACCATAATATAAACAATAACAATAGCTGGAGGAGAGGTTGGGATACAGGACATAGGAAAAAAGACGGAACCGTTGAAATGGAAAATCACGATTATTAAATGGGATACCATTATTTTGTGTGCTTCACCGTACACTTTTTGAAACATTTTTTGAAAAGAGAAGCACGATTTATGTCCGAGACGATTTTGCTGCATCACAACTGGTGCCTACTGCATACAAATACGATGTCTGTATAAGGTTTGAGAATGAATCACAAAATAAATGAGGGGGGGGGAGGGCGTCATCAAGGCAAAGTCAAGGTGATGCACAAGTTTTTTTTTGTTCACACAGAATTGGTTTTCATCGTTTGTCTGCAATCGCCTCGGCTATCTTGAGCATTCTGGTGTTATCGTTAGTAAAAATCACTCGAAATGCTTGGTGGTGGTGTATGGCTATCGATGAGCTTGGTGGTTTGTAAGCACGGACCATACCAGTTACCGGCTGCGTGGCCGTTGTCATGGAAACCTTGCGTTGAGCCCAGTTCGGAATGTGTTCCGCAGTAGGCAGCAGTTGAGATGCAACGAAATCGTCCAGGACATAAATCGTGCAATGTTGCTATACTGGCTTCTCTTTTAAAGTTTATCACGGGAAAAGCTTGTTTTAGTTTCTTTCGTTTTTTTATGGGGCACGGGACTACAACAGACAGACGTACAGCATTCGAGCCACTGACTTCTATTCTGGGCCATATCCCTCAGCGTCTCTAACCAACGACAATCCTCATCTCTCCGGATCCAACCCAACCTGGAGGACCGGCTGCACCAAACGAAGCCAAAGCTGAAGCACCTTCTTCGTGAATCTACGCCTTGTTGTAGTCTGACCGCAGCGGCGTTTCTTGGAGCCTTTTTCAGCACGTGCAAAGAGAGTAGGTGCAGAGAGAAGGGTAGTCGATGGGCAGGCATACGCAATACATGGCCAAGTCATCGGAGGCGGCGTAGATCGCTTGCTTGTAAGAAAACGAATACAGAAAGTCGATTAACATCCTCAACGCAAAGGTCTCGCAACCGTAAAGCAGAACGCTACGAACTGCGGCAATGTAAACCCTACCCTTGAGGGACAGTCGGATGTCATGGCGGCGCCACAGGGTGGCAGGTTGGCGAAAGCTGCTCTAGCTTTCGCTATTCGTGATGTGATCTC